AGAGATTTTGAGTGCGGTTTGTTGGGTTTTGTGAATTGCTTGAGAAAAGAACCGGCCGGAGAACTTGTTAGGGGTGTGCTTATTCAAGATAAGGAGGCTCCTAAATTTTCTCTACAAGATTCTTTTTATTTAGAGCAACTACAAAAAGATATGACCATTAACGTATTGCGATCTAATAAAATCTGGGGGTCCTATAAACATTTAAGATTACCACACCCGGAAACCAAGCTTGTATCTACCGCTCAAGTCTGCCAAACGGTAAACAAATCTTTTCTAATCATATCGATAATCTATTAATGTGGAATGTATAATATTATGTGTTTTGTAAATGGGAAAATGTTAACACAGTAAAAGCAAATATTGGTGAATTAATAATATTTATATGTAAGTCTTATAAGTTTCCAGTTTAACCAAACTGGCGCGCCAAATATTAGTCGATCATACTTTTAAATTAAATCCAGAAAACATGCTTCTAAATTAAATATAGAGGACGTAATATCGCAATTAAATTGACAAAGTAATATCAATTTGAGTAATATCAAGTATATCAATTTGATGCTAACAAGCATATTTAAATACTTTAAATCATGAAAAATAACTTATTGCAAGAAAATAATATATAACCAATATAATATAATATTTTTCGTATTAAGTTAATTTCCAGGATTCAACAGATGCTCATTGGTATCAAATTACTTTGTCAATTTTTTTGATATTACGTTCTTTGGATTCAATTTAGAGTTGTGTCATAAGACCGACAAATGTTTGGCGCGCAGTTTGCTTAAACTAGAAATTATAAAATTCATATAAAAATATTGTTAAAATACCAAAACTTGCTTTGACCGTGTTGGCATTTTTTTCATTTTAGTTTGAACATTGATTAAATTTACGTATATACTTTATTTGTGTTTTACATTTTATGAAGATGTTTTCTTTAAAAATTTAGTTTTACATGTGTCATATCATTATATAAAATTGTTGAGTTTCTGTAGGTTCATGGTGATATAAGCACATTCTCTTGGATAGAAAACAGTCTGTCTGTCGAGTCTTGCGGTGAAGATTTAGTATATGTGGTTTATTCATCACTTAATTTCAAAGATGTAATGCTTGCTACTAGCAGATTCGTATCAAATCGAGCGATTTCGCTTGGGCGGTTGTTTGAATATACACCATTAGGAATGGAATACGTGGGATTCGATGCCAAGGGCCAACGTGTAATGGGACTTCGTGATACAGAGTAAATAATGTTCCAAAAATTACAATAATGTGTAACATCATAGAATTTAAATTTAATTAAAGATATTCCTCCTAGTTGTATAGC